ACGATTTTATTTATTATCTGGTACAGTCAGCAAATAGCTTTTGGTGTCCTTTTATTTGCATAGGGACATACTCATCATTCTTTGGTTGACTTGTAATTATTAACATAAAAACATCAGGATTTATGATGTCTTGGAGATGCCATGAATTTGAGGACACTTATCCGTAGATGTGCAGGCTCTCAAAAGGTAATTCCTGCTGGGTGTTTACTTTAAAGTCTCTGCAAGATTAGAGACGAAGGTGTAAATAGCTACCAACCAAGTGTCCTCCCTGGAGTCCTAAACAACAAGAATGAACGTTGCAAAGTCTTGTAATCATAACCAAGCTGAAAGGACTGTGCTTCCCATTTTAATAATTCAGCCATAATAGTAGGTAAGAATTTTGGCAGAGCTGGTAGAAAGCTGTTCTTTCAACTGAAAAGAATGATGGAAGTAGTCTGCGTGGTCCAGGACAGCATTCAAAGAAAGCAAGGAGTGCTGAGTAGAGGAAGAAAAAGCCCTTCAGTATAAAAAGTACAGAAAGGTACCAAGAACAACAAGCAACCAAAACCAAGCATGAAGTGTTCTATGCACAAGCCACTGCCAGCAACTAACAGAGCGGACAAAGTACTGCAGCTTCTTATGGAAGACAGATTCTGATGTGGAGACAGATCATCTGGAGAATTCAGCCCAGAAATAGCTCACTCAGCTATTGCTCAGGCATGCAGGCACACTGTGGGCACAAGAAGGAATTTATACTAGTACAGAGAAGGGTAGATGCAGCCTCCTGAATTGAGAGAGATAAGATGCTGTTTGGGTTAGCTGTACATAATCCCCACGAAAGGATTTTTCTCATGATCTCAGCTACCTTGGGTTCTCATTGTAGAAGTGGGCATGCAGTTATTGGGATGTTCAAAAGCAAGGGGAAAAAAAAAAAAGCTGGGGGCAGAAGTGGTAGAGAAAAGTATTCACACTTAAAAGCTATAAGGTCATTCTAAGCTCTCATTAAACTGCATTACTAAGCATCCATAGCACATTAGAGAGTGGAATAAACTCTGATTACTCATATGATTGTATATCTTTAATAGATGCATGAGTAATAAGGTAAAGGATTTTGTGCTATCAAAACCTCTGCTTGAAAATCTGTCGTTTACAATATGCCAGTTATATAAATCTACATGACTATAAATCTAACATTCTTTGCTATGCTTAATTATTATTTAACACAAACGGTGTACATTTACAAAATACATCCAGTCATAAATACCACCACTGTTATATTGAACAGTTGGGAAAAGGCCCTAATTTTGAAATATTTATATACAATTTAATGAAAAAAAAATCACTGAATCAATCATAACACATAGCTCTACGATGTATCAGATTGTAATCTCAAGTTTCAAAAGTTTTCTTTAACAGCAGAAATGGGCTGTTTATAAATCTACCAAATTATCAGAATAAACTGTAATGGAAGGAAGGTTCTTTACAATACTCAAGAAAACCTCAAGAAACTCAAACAGTAAGACAGATGACTTACTAAAGTGTAGGTCTACATGCTGTTAAGTGCTAAGCCCCTTCTGCCTCCACATACCTTTCCTTGTACTTTCTCCACGTCTGTACATGTAAGTTCCCATAGCTGTATCACAGAAATAGCAAATAGCAAGTAACCTACAACTGGCCTTTCAGACTCAGTAAGTAGTATTTGAAAAGTAGGAATGAAACACAAATTGTGCATTGGACAAACACAAACTAAGCAATTTCTAGTGCAATTTTATCCACCAATGAATGGCTGATTAGACAGATATAAGGCTTTTCTAAATGCAGACATAGCAATGTCATGAAAATAAAATTAATTTCTTAGGCAGAACTAAGAAAAACAAACCCATTTTTAATTTTGATGCAGCTTTAAAAGTCTGCATTCACATCCATTTTCAGATGTGCATAACAAAGTTCTCATACCATTGAAATAATGCCTTTAAGATTTTAAGTCTGTGAAATCTGAATTCCTTAACAGTTAAGCAACTGCACAGAATTCTAGAATTGGTAACTTTGAAACATCAAACTGAGCATAGACTTGACCACAAGCTCCCTGTGCAATACTAAAGCAAACTTGGCCAAAGATACATTGCATATGCTGCTGTTTGTAATTGCAAAAAGGCAATCTTTGCACTAGAAAGATATATACCTAAATAGCCAAAACATTTCTGTATACATTCTTTTGAATGATAGATAAAATACAGAGACAGAAAGTGAGACTTGGAGGTCAACATGTTTAGCTTATCAAAATCAGATAGAAAAGCAACTGGTTTATAGTATTATTTATTTTAGGATACTAATAGCTGGCAAAAAGAACCAGACACAAATAAATTAGAACTAATATATGTGTATATATATGTTTGGGGTTTTTTTTCAAATCTCTTTATATCTTCATTTCAAATCAAGAATGGACACTTTCTGGAAGATATGCGTCAAGCACAATAAGCTGAATGTTTTAGTGAGACAAGTAGCTGTGCTCAATACAAAGTTCAACAGGAAAAAAATGCAGGGATTTTACCAGCAGGACAGGCAGAGTATAGAAACATCAATGGAGCCAATATTTAGGACAGCTTCTGGCAATTTAGAAAATCTATATGCAATGTATAGATTTTTTAGCTATTTGTACAACAGTCAGTGTGTATAACTCACCCATTTGTTGCTGGGGAGAAGACCACATATTGTGCACAATACTGTCCTGATGCATCCACAGGACAATCAAAGCAAAACAATTAATATGTTAAAATACTTGGATAAGGAAGCAGAAACTGGTATCCTTGATTGTCTACAGGATAGTACAATTCAAGAAATTTCCCCCAAAAGATGAACAAAGGAAACACTATTAGAAATGGCTCTGAAAAAGATGTGAACACTCCATAGAAGCACGATATGAACATTCAGTCTGAGCAAGTTATAAAATTAGAATCCGTGAGCAGATCAGAGAGAAGGGCTATGGGACCCTAGAAGAACTGACCAAAACTTGTGATTACATGGAAATGAGGGTCTATACAAGCAAGCTTTTTTGGCTCAAAGTTCTCCATGACAGTCATTTTGGGGCTACAAACTACAACCAAATCTTGAAATTTCTCAAAAATATTTGTGCATACCTGTTTTCAAATTTTGAATTGAAAATATTATACAGACATCATCATCCCAGGTCCAGGTGCAATACATTTGCTACAGCCTTGTGCACCATGGTGTGGAGGGTTGCTCTTCTGAATATTGTTTATCTTTAAGAAGTTACTTCATGGGTTTCAGTGCTGCTCACAGTGCCCAGAGCATCTACACACTGACAACTATGAAAGACAGTCAAAATGGTGTAAGGGTGGCAGTCCCTTCTGTGTCTTTTTTTAGACAAATGAGAAACCACTGGATGAATTACTGTCCCCCAGCACAAGATATAGCCAGTGTTAGAAGCTGTTACACCAAATGCAGCCACAACTACATGTGCTGAAATGTTCCTGTGAGCACATCTTGTCCAGAACTAGCAACAACCCCTTTTACTTTGATAAATTCTTGTGTAGGAGGAAATAATTTGGGCTAGATGCATATGCCTATTAGCCTGTTCAGAATAACTAAATTGCTTATTGCTTATTTCTTTGTTAATATTTATGGTATGAACATATTCATCTATAGAAATGAGAAGTACAACACAGAAAAATACTATTCTATATTTATTTGGAAGCATTATCCTTTATAGTAAGGAAAAAGTATAGCAAGGAAAACAAGATAAGTAACTCTTCTGAACCAGCTCTGATATGTAGGAACACTTTTTCAAATTTTGGCAACGCTCTATCAGCACACTGACAATCTGTCCTGATATTGCTGAGAAAAACCTTCTCATTTTCTTTTTCAAAAAGACCAACAGACCAAGACAGACTCTAGGCTTGAATGACAGGTTGATCAAATCAGTCAGACAAAACAGAGGTCTCTTAAATATAGCGAGCCAATGATGATACTCATAGCTAGGTATTCTAAGGTTTTATTACATGTAATGCAGATGACTTGGGAAATGCTGCAAAATTGTGTGCACCTCTGTGTTAATAATATATTATTCCTTATTACTGAAAAATCCAGAGTAAAAAAAGAACTTATAGCAAAATGTAAAACTTTCAGCATACATACGATAAAGTGAAATTGCTCTTGCAAAAAGAAGATATATATCCTGATATATACTTTTAACTCTGCTGTGGCTGTTCAGAGGTTACTTTGATTTAACACACAATTTCTTAAGGCATATTAAGATTAAAAAAACAAACAAAAAACTTTCAGGGAAAAATTTCAGTGTGCATGTATCGAACCCACAGAACCACCTTGTAATTTACATAGATATTACCTACTCATTTCTAACTTCCCATCTTCACAACTGTTGTTAGCTCACATCAGAAGAAATGAACAAAACCAACTATTACAAAATGCCTTCAAACATCAAAGGTGTCTTTCCACTTTTAAGCTTACAAACGTAAAGCAACTACAATAAAATAAATAAAAAGACCCAGTTATTTTTCTGATATGGCTTCTTAGATGTTTTTCAACCTAGCCATTTGACTCCCATACCATGAAGTTCAGGTATGCATATTAATCACTGGGCCCCAAAAATATCTCTGGTTTCTCTATCACTTTACAGTAAGTCCATTTCAGACTAAACTTAGCTGCTTTGTACAGTGAGCCAAAACATTTACGACTACTTTCAGGCAGCTGAAAATGACAAAATTCAGCTAAAGCCGCCTCCCCTCTCCCGCTGGCACATATAGTTTTAAGGCACGACTGTTAATAACCTAAAATATAGCAATCTAACGCTAAGAACTTCTTAAGGCTTTTGCTGAAAACACCTAACAGTATAATCTATGGTCAGCTTATTACAAGAGTTGACTTACTAGTCAAAATATTAAGAAATGTCTGTTTCCATAGACCAGAGTTCTCTTTTTATGACTGGTTCTTGCTTTAAGCAAGCACTGAACATAGGAAATACTGGTGTCCTGAAAGCTTACCTTCCAGTAAGTCTCTTGCCAGACCTGGTTCTGCCCCTGTGGACCGAACAAAGTCTGACAGGACTGCATCCATATCAAGAGTCATGTGATCATTCAGGGATGCTGCCAGACATGCAGCAGCAGTAGGACTCGATGGTTGGCTAGAAGGCATCCATCTGCCAAGGAGAAAAAGAAACAGGATTTTAGAGTATACTCCAAAGTGATGTAAACCACATTTTTCCTCTCTTCCTCAAACAAGACTATTAACAATGCAAAAACATTCAAGTTACAGTATATTAAAATAAACAGCATTTGTCATCCATCTCTGCCTTCGCCTAGAAGCTGTTGATCGCTCACACTGGAAGGTTTTCTCTTTCTTAACTTTTCATATTTTTATTGATTTTTCTTATGTGCAGCTTGTAAATAATTCTGCAACTTGAAGACTCCAATCCAGCTAAACACAGGCACTGTTCATTCAAAGCACAATCATCGTATCATTGTCACTGCTCATACACTGAAGTTTAGCAAGTATTTAAATATTTGGCTAGCCTAGAGCTCTTTTGCCTTACTTACTAATACTGACATATACACAACAGAGCTTAGTATTTGTTCCTTTTATTTGCCTTGTCAATACCACTTCTGTAATTTATAGTTTCTCCACTGTACTGGGTCTGGCTGGGATGGACTTTATTTTCTTCATTCATCTTCTAGAATTGTGGCTAAACCAGTGTTGATAACACACCAATATTTTAGTCATTACTAAGCAGTGCTTACACAGCCTCAAGGCCTTCTCTGGTTCCTACACCGCCCCCCCAGTGAGTAGGCTGGAGGTGCACAAGAGGCTGGGAAGGGTGACAGCCAGGACAGCTGATCCCAACTGCCCAAAGGGATATTCCAGACCATATAACATCATACTCAGCAGTAAAACTGGAGTAGAGTCTTTCCAAAGTAGCCATTGCTCAGAGACTGGCTGGGCATCAGTCTGCTTGTGAGAGGTGGTGAGTGACTGTCTTCACATCACTTGCTTTTTCCCCCCCCTCTTTCCTTCACTTTAATGAAACTGTCTTTATCTTGATCCACGAGGGTTTCTTCTTGCTTTTGCTGTTCCGATTCTCTCTCCCATCCCACTGCAGGGTGAGGAGAGTGAGTGAGCAGCTGGTGGTGCTTAGCTGCTGGCTGGGGTCAGCAGTCTCCAGGGCTTTGTACATCAAACTCCAGGATTTGTTAATGGCCACTTTCAGCTTTTGCTGTGTTGTTTATCACTTTGTCTTTCTTTGCCTGTGAGAGCTATAATAAAAACACTAGCCTTGAGTCTAATCTGGTGTTTGGCCCATGTATTGCTGCCATCCCAATACTCTGGGAACCATCTCATGGAGTCAATTAACAATTAGACCTTTCTCCTCTTCTCCTCCAGGAGCAACTCTGTAGGGAAATTAAGAATGGCACCTCCTCCTTCTCCTCCAGGGTACATGTTTCCTGCCTTGTTGCAATGGCCCTTCGGTTTCTCAAACATCTCTGTGTAACTAGAATGCTCGCATTATGCAGAAAGATTACAGCTGTCAGCCAGGCAAGCTAATTATCACCTGGTTGCTCTGCCACTGGGATACTGAGGCCCATAGTCAGAAATTACAGGGCAAGGAAGCCCAGCAGCTGGGATCCCTAGCTAAGGATGGGGGAAGTGGCAAAGGGACTGGAAAAGGGGCAACAATCCACAGCCTCTGGAGGCAGTTCCTGTTGAACATGAAGGCAAGGTATCCCCTCAAGGAAGATGTGCAAGCTACTAAGGCAAGTGGACCACCATTGAGGAAGGTATCCAGTATCTGAGGGAATTAATGGTGGTGGAGGTGATTTACAGCAACCTAGACAACAACCAGTCCTCCAAAGATCTGGACAAAATCCAGTGCACGTGGTCCATGTGGCAGAAGCTTGTATGGAACACACCAACACCATATGCCAGCACCCTGGTGATAAAGGACTGGACAGATATCAAGGTACCAACTGTGGACAGACTGGCCTGCCATCTCTGGCAGTTCGAAGAGAATCTCTCTTCCTCCCTAAACCTGTGAGCTTGTGGCTACCTTGTCCAGCCTCTCAGAGGATCCTTCTGTTGTGGGGTGTGTGCTGAAGAACAGCAGGTGTTGACTGCTACCATGAAGGTGCATGGTCGACAATATCGCACCAACTGAGAATTCCTGGTTCACATACATGAGCTGATTGATTGATGAGACAAGGAGCGATCATCAAGACTCGCTCTCCCTGTAATAGTCCCATATGGTCAGCACGAAAGTCTGATGGTGGGTAGAGGCTAACAGTGGACTACCGCAGCCTGAACAGTCATGCCACCATTGTGCACTGCTGTACCGGCCATGCTAGAACTCCAATATGAACTGGAGTCAAAGGCAGTCATCAAGTGGTATGCTACAACTGACACTACCTATGTCTGTCTTGATCCCTTTGGCAGCAGACTGCAGGCCACAGTTTCCTTTCACGTGGAGGGCTGTCCAATACACTTGGAATTGACTGCCCCAGGGATGGAAGCACAGCACTACCATTTCCATGGATAGATACAGATTGCACAGGAAAAGGGTGAAGCCCCCAGACACCCACAGTACATTGACATCATCATCGTATGGGGCAATACAGTGAAAGAAGTGTTTGAGAAAGGGAAAAGAATAATCCAAATCCTTCTGAAAGCAGGTTTTGCCATAAAACAAAGCAAGGTCAAAGGACCTGCACAAGAGATCCAGTTTTGAGGAATAAAATGGCAAGCTGCACATCATATCCCAATGGATGTGATCAAAAATATAACAGCCATATTCCCACCAGTTAACAAATAAGAAACACAAGCTTTCCTAGGCATTGTGGTTTTCTGGAGAACGCGTATTCCGGGTTACAGTCAGATTGTGAGTCCTCTGTATCAAGTGACATGAAAGAAGAACTATTTCAACCGGGGTCCTGAGCACTGACGAGCCTTTGAACAGATCAAACAGGAGATAGGATGTGCTGTAGCCCTCGGGCCAGTTGAGCCTTTGGCCTCAACTGGAGCCTATGGTAGAAAGCACTCAGAGAGACTCAAGGTCAATCTCTAGGGTTTTGGAGCCAAGGGTACAGAGGATCCAGAGTATCGGGTATATCTCTGCCTTCCTCTATTGTAGTATTTCTATAGTTGAATTCTCAGTGGAGGAGCCACCTCCACAAATCATATCAGAAACACCTGCAACAAATATATAGTATAAATACTTGGACCAACAGAGGCCCAGCTGGGAGAGGCAGAAAGGAAGGGTCTGACAGGATTTCACCCCTGTTATTCTTCTGAGAGATGCAATTAGAGTACTAGTTAATACAATCAGGGTACACAAAGGTCTTTACTATTTTTATATCTAATTCCCCATGCCGCCCAAAAAACCCCCACCCAACCCATCCATCCATCCATCCATCCAGGGCTTTCTAAAGTAGTTATGTAATACCAGCTTAACCATAAGAGAAAGGCACCAACATTTTTTCGCACAAGTGGAGGATGTCAGGTTTCCTTCCTGGAAGGATTTGCCTGTCCCAAGGCAAAGTGACAGCAGCTTACTGTGAGAAAACCAGCATTACACCAATATGTCACTGCACTGGATGTTGGTGGCCAGGTTCTGGTAGCGGGGGCTGCAGGGGTGGCCTCTGTGAGGAGAGGTTGGGGCTGCTCTGTGCTGGACTCATCCGCTTCCAGCTGGTTCCAGCCAGCTCTGCAACAACCCACAGCAGGGCACAGCTGAGCCCAGCAGCCAAGCTGGTGGCACCTCTCTAAAAACAGTCCTACTTCACAGGAAATTAGAAGGTTGATTTTAAAAGGAAGAGGAGAAAGAAGGAGCTGATATTACAGTAATTTACAAGTTTTGGGTTATTCATTATTTTATTTTGTTGTATAGTCATTTATTGATGACCAATACTGTAGCTACTGTACAGTGTTAGGAAACAGATCATGTTTTGCCTCAAGCGAAATGTGACACAATGTCCGGCATGGGACTTTTTCTTGCCAAATCCATGGCTAACAAAAATACATCTGCCCTACTGCATTTTCTACCTACTTTTTTGTTCCTGAAAAAGTGAAACCCATCCTTCTAGGCAATGTTCTCTACAAATATCAAATAAAAATTAAAGCAGGCACTTCAAGAGTAGTTGGTGCTAGACAAGCTATTAAGACAGCTGGCATTCAAAACACAGTTATGCTAAAGGTATCTCTGTACTTCTACCCTGCCCGTGCTGCTGCAGAAATAGTGCAAAGCAAAGAAAACAGGACGAAGGTAAGTGATACACAACGTAAGAAAAACCATATGTTCTACTTTCATGCTTGTTATTCATCATTAGTCAAAGTTTACCTTTGAACATGAATTAGATTTTTCCTGTTAATTCCTCCTCACATGCTCAGTTGCAACTTTACCATGTGCCATGAGTAAGGACTAGCATGGAGATTTCCTACTGGTAGCAGATGATATTGGTTGGCTCTTGCTTGTACCACAGCTACAGAGAAATAAACTGTGAAAGAAATTGGAAACCGGTTGATTTCACTGTTCCCCAAATGAAACACAGTCCTTTCCTACTCCATGTGCAACTACCTGGTTATATTTAACCTTAAAAATGGAATGCCTTTGCTTTCTTAGAAATTGCCTCTTTCTGCAAGTGCATGTCCCAGGTAGAATACAAACATCATTTACCTGCTGCTCCAGGAGGGTGGGGTCCTTCTCAGCCTCATCCATGAGGACTGCCTGCAAAACCCAACTTACTCCAACAAATTGAAAGTGTGTGGGATATCGTTACACAATTACATGTTTTTCAGTATCGAAGCAGATTACGCTGTTGCTAACCCTACCCACTTCACAGTCTTCCAGCCCCTACACTGTACCATCATATGTTTTATACCACTTCTACATTTATGCTTTTATACTAGTTATACAACTGTATCATTTTGTTGGGGTGCATTAGGATAGCAGGGGAGGTGATCCTTTTCCCTCTATTCAGCCCTGGTGAGACTCATCTGGAGCGTTATGTCCATTTCTGGATCTCCAACACAGGAAAGACATGGACATACTGGAGCAAGTCCAGTGAAGGACCACAAACTGCACATCTGTATCATCACTGGACAAGGGAAACGCTTCCAAAATGTAACATAATGAAGAGGTAGTAACAGAAGGAAAGCTGGAAATACTGAGGCGGCTAGTTAAAAAGGAACGCAGACACTTCAGGAAGAGAACTACCTTAGTGGATTATGGCCAAATTTGGCATCTAAGCTTTGTAGCAACTGAATCTGTTTCAATGCAAATGCAGGACAAAAATGCTACTTTTATTTTAAAAAAATAAATACTCATACATAGATCCAATGTACTAAACAGCGCTAACATCCATACAAAAAGATCACAAGAAACTGAATACAATTAATCTCTTTAGTGTCTAGGAGAAAGAATGAAATAAATCTCAACCAGCAGGATGGAAACATACAGATCAAGCTAAGAGAACATGCCGCATGAGGTGAACGATACAAAGCATTAGCGAATTTCAGGTAACAATCAAAAGCAGTATAATGACTGCTAATTTAAAATGCACCAGCTGTGCACTCAAGTACAGTCACTATGTGCGGGGGCTAGACTGCTCATAAATTTGGAAAACTGAAGTGCGTATCAGTCCGAAGAAGTCAACTCGTGAGTTGTCTCAGTATTGGCATTATTTCAGTATTTTCAACAGTGGTATTGAAAAGATACCCTTTTAAGAGCAGAAGACCAATCTCTTTCTGCATTTATGACATCACCCATCACCTCAGAATTGCCTCTTGATTACATGATCATCAGAACTCATACAGTAACCATGTCAACAGACACATTTCATTCTTAACTCCTCCCAGCAAAGGTTATGTAAGCTGCCTATGAAGATCTTTTCTACAAAAGAGGTTCTTTCTGGTAATGCAGAAAGTTCTCTGCCTATATACAGAAAACTGGTAATATATGTGCATTGACAGCTGATGCAAACACAGCTCACATGCCACAGAGCCAGAGATAAGGCTAGCCGTTGTTTTACTGAAAAACAATAATTTAAAATTAAATACTATCCAGGTTTCATTATATAATGATAAATAGCTGTACAGGTAGAAAACACCTGCCTTGTGTTGGGTGCCAAGGAACCACATCCAATCCAGACCTTCCAAATCCATGACAGTGTGAGGAAAACGTTTTCTAGTCGAACGCTCCCTCTATACCTGTGCACTATACTATATAATTCTCTAGGCTCTGGGTCCTGCACCTGTGCTTAGAACACCTGCACAAAAATATCCATGCTATTTAATTCTTCCTGTTACTCATCAGACCTAAATTAACAGCACAACATAGACTAATAGTGTTTATCCAGACAGATGTGTCTGAAAAGATGGGAGAATCAATGATGAAACATTGATGAACGTTAAAAATGAAAGAAAACAGAACAAACCCACCATTGATTACCTGAAGTAACACTGGTTCACTGTGTTGGATTACTTAAAAACGAAATAAGATCTACAGGACTATGCTGACTGGAGCTGGACTCCTGCACAGTTTCCATGCAAACTCCAAATTTCAACAGTACTGAATCAAGCACATCCAATGCTGTAAGAGGCAACTAAAATATCTGCTACACATGCAACTGAGGAGCAACCTGCTGTGGAAACCCATTCCTCATATACTGGTAAGGCCTCACAAAGTCCCTGAAACATTATAAACTCAATGTGGTGCTACCAAACCCACAAATATTAACAGCTCTAGTAAAAAAAACAACCAAACAAAAAACCTCCCAAAAAAACCCAAAGAAACCTCCCCCCCCTCGAAAAAACCCTCTCCAAAACTCAAATACTAAGTTTCCTACTATAGCAGTATTTTACTGTTAGTACTAACTACTCACCATGTACTATTTTCTGTTAGTACTAACTACTCACCATGTACTAACTATTTTTCTTTTTTTCATGCAGCAAACATCACCTCTCTACCCCATTTTGTAGTCATAATTATCGCAGGTGGCAGGTGGTCTGGCTGTTACTTGTACTACCTCACCCTGAAGAAAAACCTTTACAAAAAGCCTGAACTATGCATGCTCTACACTCTGAAAGCAAGAAGCAGAGTTGGTAGGATCCTCCCTGTATACATTTGAACTAGCACTATTTTTTTCCCCAGAAGGAGTTGTTTTCTCAGCTCTCTAGAATTTAGAGGAGGAAAAAAACCCAACAAACAAAAACCCAACAAAAAAAGTCTTTAAAAAAATATTTTTGCCAGAAAACTACTATTAGCTGTGAAAACCCACCCAGATGGAATAGTAAAAACTACTAACCAAGAAAAGAAAATAAATGGTAAAGAAGGAGGTAGTGACTCAGAAGCCAGATGTCTACCAGACTTACTGTTCTCACCAGATGAACATAGTCTCTCCTCACCTACAAAACCACCACCTTTGCTCCGGATGGTTAGTCAAACCATTAACACAACTTACACTGCAAATATACACACTTGGAGAACACCTAACACCATCATCCATACTATACCCGTCAATAAGCATCACCCCTCTTGCGGTTAACAGTATAGACACACATATATACTTGCAGTTTGACTTTCAAATGTGTCACACATGATACACAAATGGCACTTTGAACTCAATGGAAATGGAAACATCTTGACCCTCAAAATACAATGAAGACCTTGGTTTTCACTCACTTTCCAGCCAAATTTCTTCTCTAAATAATTTCTTACTTATACAATGCAAGTACAAGAGGCAGTGAAAGGGATAATTTGTTGTATATTGTAAGAAAAAGCATTTTAAAAGTATTTAAAGAAGAGATACTGATTGCTTCTAAATGTTAAGATGGGTTAATAGGACTTGAAATCAATTAAATACAATCTCAGTTATATTGAGTTATAAAGCTAATGCTTTGTATCGTTCACCTCATGCCCAGGGAAGTGGTGGAGTCCCCATCCCTGGAGGTATTTAAAAGACGTGTAGATGAGGCGCTTAGGGACATGGTTTAGTGGGCATGGTGGTGTTGGGTTGACGGTTGGACTCGATGATCTTAGAGGTCTTTCCAACCTCAATGATTCTATGATTCTATGATTTGATCTTTTCTACTCCTTTAAGTAGCTCTCTCTTAAAATTGAGCCATACTTGGAAGTAATCATTCTTCATCTGAATCTAAATTTGACTTCTTTAACATCAAATCGCTTCATCCAGTTAAACGATATGAAGATATTTTTTCCAAATAGGCAGAAAGAGATGCATAGGGCTAACTAATGAAGCAAAAGCAAGTATGTTAAAACAAATCCCATGCCTCCAGAATACAAATAGCTGACAAAACAGAAGTGATGAACAGAAAGAAAAACAGAAAGAAAAAAAAGAAAACAGTGCATAAACAGTGCACAGTGGACAAACCCTGAGGAAGACATAATGATTAAACTGCAACTTAGATCTTTCATAATTTTCACAGAAAGGATGAAATAAGCACCATCAGTAATATGCCCAGTCTCAGTGCTCTAGGAAGCCAGTGGAAAGACACTCACCGACTGGATTAAACCCGTTCCCCCCCCCACTTTTTTTAATTTCCCTGCAGTGTGACAAGGCTAAATGCCTATTAACATTACTGATTCCTCTCAGCTGGTTTGGCAATACACAGGCTAAGTGCAGTCCGCTCTTGTGTTGAATGTTCATGATGCTTGCATTTTGGTTGTGAAGGCAGAAAGACCCTGTTTGTGCACAGCTCCAGACTTTGAAAGTAATTATTTCTGTCATGCCATATTTGATGGAGAATGTTATAATTCTAGAATCTTGACAGTATCATGAAATTGAACCAATGCACCAAATAAGACCACTTCTTCTTAGTGAAACATTTAAATTTTTTGAGCTCAGGCTGTGCAAGTTCTCATTCTTTTCTGCATGCAAAATGTATTTACCTACAGTTTTACAGACTTTAATTTTTTAGTACGCCAGAGATTTTTTTATTGGTTATTACATTTCTAAAGCTGCTCCACTCTTCATTAGATAACACTTTGCCAAATGTTCATATACAAGATAAAAACTATTAAGGGAAAAACTGTAATTAAACGATCAAGTCCATTACAGAAGATTTGTTTAGGAGGGGAGCATCAGCTTTAAGGGAACTGGTAGCTAACGTAGGCACTCAGCTTTTCAGATTGCCTAGTAGGAATACCATGTATATGCGAGAGTAGTTAATTGTTCAGAGCATTTGTTGCCCAGGTAAAAGGTGATTAAACATTAAGATACAGGACCAGTCTGAAATATAGAAAGCTAATGCTCTGCCAAGAGTAGCTGAAAGGAATGACATTGAATTTCTAATGTTTTTGCACCAATGAAAAATCAAAGACAAAATCTTGTGAATACTGTGGTTTCCCTACAGGAAGACTACCTTATTCCCAAAATGAAACTTCTCCCTACCCTTTATTTGGGTTAACTTCAACATTTTTTAACACACTATGACCTCAATTCAGTAAACTTTTTGTATTCAGAGTAACGCTTCAATC